TCCTTTTTGGCCAGGCAGCTTTCCAGCCACTCTTCCCCAAATAGATAGATGGACATAAATCAAGAGCACAAAGAATGATCTGTGTATAGAAGAGCACTTTTTAGAAGTGGCAGGGACTGCAAGTTTTGGCCAGAATCTGTAGGAAAAAATGGTAGTGCCAAGACTTCCAAATTGCACACTTAAATAATATTGGGCACTGCTCCCTCTGGAGGGTAGACATGAACCATTCCACACTTTCATTTTCTTTAAGGTTTTAGTAACTCTTCTGCTCAAACTCAGTGAAGTGGGGAAAAAAAAACAAAACAAAAACCCACAAACAACACTACATGCATTGAACTGTGTCCTCATTAGTAATGTGTATAATTATTTGGCTTATTTTAGGTGAAACTGCAGGAGTCCATTGAATATGAAGATTTAGCAAAGAATAATAGCATTAAAACTATTGCACTAAACTTAAAGAAGTCTGATAGGTAAGTTAATAAAATATGCACGGCTATTTCAGCATATTCAATCTACAGGTCTCATCACAGCCTGCACAGAATCAGCTGGTTTAGTCTCTACTGTGCCACACTCAAGTGTGTTTAGGCTAAGTTTAGAAGCCTAATATGAACTCCTGCATAAACCAACTTCCAAGTAATTCCTATTTAAATTTGTATTTTGATTTCCTCTTGCTTTTCAGCACGTTAAGTCTCTGTAAGCCTACTTGAAGGGCTTTGTCATGTAATTTCTGTGAAAGTCTAACAGAGCTGTATTTGCAGTTCAGCACTTTGTTGCAGCTTACAGTGGAAAAATGTATTTACATGTGAAAATACATATGATTCCAAGGAAAATCCAGGCAAAAAAAGTGCAATCGGGATAGTTTGGACTGCTCACTGGTCTAGTGTTTTTCTATTAATAGTCCTCTGGTTTTCTAGACTTTCGAGTTTGAGAACCATAGATGCAACTTCAGAAAATAAGTGATACCACAGGAAAGAGAACAGTTCCAAATGTGCACCTAACTTCCTTTAGCTTAGTTTCAATTGAAAGTGGTGTGAATTCCTCCATTCTAGTGATATTCCCAGAACTAGGTGGGACAGATAGCTTTTCATTACCGAAATGATGCTCACAGATTCAACAATAGAAGCTCTTCTCTTATTTTGCTGTCATATCATCCCAAACCCAATCTCTTCCCATGTGGCAATGTATTTTAGTTTGTCAATGAATAAGATTTAGATAGGAGTGTCAACAGTTGCAAAGCATCTAAAATTGGAAACATCTGAAGAACTGTCCACTGAGTTTGGCCTCTGTTTTACCAACACTCCTACTAATAGACTTTTCTCTTTGCTTTTCTTATCTCACAGGTATTATCATGGTCCAACTCCAATTCAATCACAGCAATATGCAACCAGTCAGGATATAATTAATTCTTTTCATAGTATTAGGCAAGAAATGGAAGCATATGTACCCAAACTAACTCAGGTATGGAAGAATACTCAAAATAATTCCCTTCTTGATGTTAGCATCTTGCTTTCTATATAATTTTGTGTCTCATGTCTACTGGAATTTTAATTTTTCAGGGTAAACTTCATTATCTCCAGTAGTTTTATGTTACTCAATTTGTTTTACAACTTCAGGCGATACCTTTTGAGCTACTGTGTTTAAAATCTAAACAATAGGAAACTGAGTCATTGCTGATATTCAGAGTTACATTCTACTATTACCATGTTCTTTGGAGGAAATAGTAAAGGTATCAAGTAGTAAAGCAGGACAGCCATGCAAAATGAAGCACAGGCCAATAATATTGATCCCACCTCCTGAAATTTAGGATGTAATGGTCTTAGGAGGTCATAGTAAGCAGGTTTATAACTGAATGGATCTTTTGCCCCTAAATGCAATTATGTAGGATGTAGATTTCACTGTGGGCTGCATAGCTCTGTACTACAGGCAGAAGCTCTGTCCTGGCAACTGGAGGGCAGCATAGCCATGTAGCCAATCTCCCCAGCCAGTATCTGAACTTCCTCTGTTAGTAAACCTAGATTTGGAACCCCAGCCACAACTGTGAACATGTCACAGTTCTGTATAGTAATTCTCTGTGTCATTTCAAAGTAGCTGCACAGCCAGTTCACATACTAGGTAAAGAAAAGATTTGTTTGTCCATAATTAGTGGGAGAGCTTTCACTGAAAACATGAGCTATAGCACTTAAAGGCACTGTGTCAAATTCTGGAGAAGAGCAGACTCTTCATCAGAACTTCCATTGTATCTGCTCAACGGTATCTTTGCCACTGGAGTTCAAATACATACAATCATAGAATCGTTTAGGTTGGAAAAGACCTTTAAGATCATCCAGTCCAACCATTAACCTACACTACCAAGTCTACTCTAAACCAATCAAGGGTAGACTAGACTAAACCATGTCCCAGAGTGCCACATCTACCCGTTTTTTGAACACTTCCAGGGATGGGGACTCCACCACCTCTCTGCGCAGCCTGTTCCAATTAGTGACCACTCTTTCGGTAAAGAAATTTTTCCTAATTTCCAACCTAAATCTCCCCTGGCGCAGCTTAAGCCCATTTCCTCTCGTCCTATCACTAACTACTTGGGAGAAGAGACCAACACCCACCTCACTACAACCTCCTTTCAGGTAGTTGTAGAGAGCGATAAGATTTTGTTGGAAAAAGTGATCTGAAATACTTCTTCCCTCTCTCCCTTCAGGTTCTTTCAAGTGGTGATGCTACTAGCACTATTGCAGTCCTGTCACCTGGAGGAGCACTTATGCAGGGTGGAACAACACAAAAAGCCATAAACCGTAAGGATTTAGGATGTACAATACTTTTTAATTGTATCTTATTGCATTATACAGCAGTATAGTACCTGGCCTCTTAGAATACGTTACACTGATAAAGGAAGTAATGGAAATGTAGCTGAAGTAATACTGGGTTACAGCAACAAAACACAAAAAGCCATAAACCGTAAGGATTTAGGATGTACAATACTTTTTAATTGTATCTTATTGCATTATACAGCAGTATAGTACCTGGCCTCTTAGAATACGTTACACTGATAAAGGAAGTAATGGAAATGTAGCTGAAGTAATACTGGGTTACAGCAACAAAACAAAAGCAATACCCCAGCCACACCATGAGGGTGGTACTGGATACACCAGTGCTGAGGGCAAGTGAATGAGAGAAAATTTTACAGAGCGAGTGATGAAGGATGCACTTGATACTAAGTCCTCTTACAGATAATGGGATTTACTTGTTCAGCATCTCTCTCCTGATTTTTTTTTTTTTTTTTTTTTTTTTTTAATTTTAGAAAATAAAGGTGTAGTCTGGGAAGACTCTAAGGAGGCGAGGCCTAGATAACTGTCTGGAACTAGCTTTTTTGCAGCCTGCATTTAAGATCCACAGCTTGCTGTGAAAAAGGACAACTTTCTTGTGGACTGCAAGGGCAAAACAGACAACCCCTCCTTCTCACACCTCCATTCAACCACCCCTTTCCCTGTTGTCACATTTCTGCCAGTTTGAGTTCCTTTCTCTTTAGTCTCACAGCAGATGAATCCCTATTCTCACCAAGCAAGGTTTATAACAGTTTTCCAGTTTAACTTGCATTACTTGGTCTGAAGAGCAGCAGAAACTAATTCAGACAGCTGAAAAAGCAAGTATGAGTTCTTTATGGTACTGAAAGAAAAGGAGTCAGCAAGCAGTAGTGCGGCTTTCTTTCCCATCCCAGTTGACATACTGGGTGCTACTCTCCACTTCTTTGAGCCTGACCACCACCATTTTCTTTTTTTTAAAACAGCCTCATCCTAGAGTTCACTATTCGCTGTTCAGTTCACTGTGCTCCTGTCGTCCTCAGTGACTGCTTGTGCTTTTTGTCTTTGTTTATGATTGTGGTTCCTTCCCTGTTCTTGAACCCTATTGCCCTTTCTTCTTTAAGAGTATCTGGGATACAGTTCCTTGTTCCTGCCTGGATTTTTCATCTTCCACATGCTGTGACTGTATTCTCATTGTCAGTGTAAGAGAGAGGGAAAAGCTTGCAGTATCCACCACGCAGTATTTGGCACTGGGCTATGAAGAGAACAAGGTGCTGGTCCCAGAAGCAGTACCGCCACACTGTTAGAACAATACAAATGAACTGCTTCTAATCCTGGATTAAGTTTGGTGTCCATTCTTTGCCTGGCATAGATCTCCCTATATAATGTACAAGCTTCCAAGTATATAGCCATAAATAGCAGCTGACCTGATCTAATACTGCTGATATTCCTACTTCAGGTGTGAGGCAGCGCACCATTCCCTCCCAGCCAACCTTTCTGTGATTGTAGTAGACATGTATATTGCTGAACTCCTTCATTAGCCTTACGTTCTCATTTTTCATGACAGTTTTGAGTGATGTGACAAAATCTTTTTCCTGTTGTAGAGATGGTGCCAAATGACGTTCAGTCTGAACTAAAACACTTGTACGTGGCAGTAGGGGAACTGCTACGACACTTCTGGTCCTGCTTTCCTGTTAACACGCCATTCCTAGAAGAAAAGGTAAGACGTAGCTTCCTGCTGTGGCCCTGGTTATGATGTGGCCAGATCACGGTTTAGAATGACTGTCATTAACTTGAAGTATAGAACTAATACACTAGCTTTAAATCAGCACAGCACTTACTCATCCCTAGAACCGAAGGTCACAAAACAACATAAAACATTACTTTTTTCAGCAACTCTGCTGGTGCTATTGGTTAAAAACATCCTTGTCCCTGCATGCCTGTTAACATCCTTCAGGAGCAGTTGCTGTAGGCTAGTTTCATAGAATAGAATCATAGAATCATTTAGGTTGGAAGAGACCTTTAACATCATCCAGTCCAACCATTAACCTAACACTACCATGTCCACCACTAAACCAATTAAGGGTAGAGCAGCAATTTCATGTTTCCTGGCTTGGTGGCTGGATTATTTTTAATGAAAGTGAAAACTAGGAATCATTAAGGTTGGAAAGGATCTCTAAGATCATCAGTCCAACCATCGACCCACCACCACCACGCCCACTAAACCATGTCCCAAAGTGCCACGTCTACCCATTTTTTTGAACCCTTCCAGGGATGGTGACTCCACCACCTCTCTGGGCAGCCTGTTCCAATGCTTGACTACCCTTTCCGTGAAGAAATTTTTCCTAATATCCAATGTAAGCCTCCCCTGGTGCAGCTTGAGCCGATTTCCTCTTGTCCTATCACTTGTTACTTGGGAGAAGAGAC